TAACACGACCGTGGCAAGATGCAAGCCCACAATTGAGTACCCACTTAAGCTGAATTTAAAGTTCACTTTATATGAATTATGCAATAATTAAGAACATACTTAAATGAAGGGTTGCAGAATTGTGTTTGACGTGTCAAAAGTTATTTGTAGGTAACGATGTTCAGACACGTGTGGCTCATTAAGAGTCCCTTTACCAACTAGGGGGTAAATTGCATCAATTAAGATCTGAGCACTCGAAATATAACTATGAAAAGCTTTGCTGACGATACGCTTATGAAAGTTGTAAGTATAATGATGTAATTTGCCATAAATTGTCATTTTTGTTAAATATTATAAATTCTGTAATAATCATTTGAATTTAAAATATCTTCAATCAAAATTGTTTCTTAATGCAGCTCTTGTGATCGGCATAGTTATTCCATTGCTCTCGTAACAGTTTTTTTAGCTGCAGAAAAAGTGCCAGAAAAAAATATCTCTCCAAATAATAGTATTCCTAAAAAGTACTCATTGTTAAAAGGATATTTTATTTTTTATTTTGTTTAATTAAATATCTACCTATACAAATCCCCAAAAGATTGTTTGTTACAGAAAATCACCCCTGATAATGACTATCGTAGCATTTCAATTTACAATAGAGTAATAAAACTATTTTTATTCCAAAATAACATCGTATACATTACCCAGATCATAGAGAGCGATTTATTTACCTAATTTTGCTTGGGTAAAAACAATGTAAGCGATGGCACAAAATAAATAGACACAGAAGGCTGGTTAATTTATATTTCGAGTCTGTTATTTATATTATTCTGTTAGTTATTCGAGTTCGAATGTTTATTCTTACAGTCCTCTATAGCATAGAATATAAACTTATTTGGCAACATACTCTATAACGTAATTTTGCACACCGATAAAACGTGTGTACTTATACTTTTCTCTGCGTAAAGTTATAAATTTTGTCGCTTTACGTTGACAGTGTCTAGACAGAACACGGCTGGTATATTTTTTAGGATGCTGAGCGCATTTAGCCACTATGAGTGTCAACTTTTCAAGCGTCCATGTACGTGTTTACGTAGACGACTGTAGTTTACTATGCATCAAGCTGCCAGTGTAGTATGATCGCATTTATTTGTTTTTTTTTCTCAAATAAATTCATAGGCCATATTGTATTTAGAATGACATCACTAATCTAACCATGAAACGCTTATTATCTTCTTTCTGTATAGTGAGTCAGTCTTACTATGCATCAAGCTGCCCGTGTATGGCCGCATGTATTTGTTTTTTTTCTCAAAAAAATTCATAGGCCATACTGTATTTACAATAACATCACTGTAATCTAACCATAAAACGCTCCTTATCTTCTTCCTGTATAGTCAGTCAGCCTTACTATGCATCAAGCTGCCCGTGTATGGTCGCATTTATTTGTACTTTTTTTTCTCAAAAAAAATCATAGGCCATATTGTATTTACAATGACATCACTGTAATCTAACCATGAAACGCTTCTTATCTTCTTCCTGTATAGTCAGTTAGCCTTACTATGCATGAAGCTGCCCGTGTATGGTCGCATTTGTTTTTTTTTCTCTAAAAAATTCATAGGCCATATTGTATTTAGAATAACATCACTAATCTAACCATGAAACGCTTATTATCTTCTTCCTGTATAGTCAGTTAGCCTTACTATGCATCAAGCTGCCCGTGTAGTATGGTCGCATTTATTTGTTTTTTTTTTCTCAAAAAAATTCATAGGCCAAATTGTATTTACAATAACATCACTATCATAGGCCATATTGTATTTAGAATAACATCACTAATCTAACCATGAAACGCTTCTTATCTTCTTTCTGTATAGTCAGTTAGCCTTACTATGCATCAAGCTGCCCGTGTATGGTCGCATTTGTTTTTTTTCTCTAAAAAATTCATAGGCCATATTGTATTTAGAATGACATCACTAATCTAACCATGAAACGCTTATTACCTTCTTTCTGTATAGTGAGTCAGTCTTACTATGCATCAAGCTGCCAGTGTATGGTCGCAATTATTTGTTTATTTTTGTTCTCAAAATATTCATAGGCCATATTGTATTTAGAATGACATCACTAATCTAACCAGGAAACGCTTATTATCTTCTTTCTGTATAGTCAGTTAGCCTTACTATGCATCAAGCTGCCCATGTATGGTAACATTTATTTGGTTTTTTTCTCTCAATAAAAATTATAGGCCATTTGTATTTACAATGACATCACTGTAATCTGACCATGAAACGCTTCTTATCTTCACCTGTATAGCCAGTTCGCCTTACTATGCATCAAGCTGCCCGTGTATGGTCACATTTATTTGAATTTTTTTCCAAAAAAATTCATTGGCCATATTTTATTCTGGGGATTGCCTAGTACCCTAGCGCAATCCCCCAGGGGCGTGTCGCCCGGTCCTCGTTGGACCGGGCTGGCCCGGGGCCATTCCAGTGAAGTGGCGCACACACGCCGATCCTGAAACGCTCCCGCATGGGCGTAGGAGGGTACCGGTGGGTTTTAGTGGGTAGGACCGGCGTTGTTCCACGCCGGGGAGTCCCACACACGCACGGTACGGTCAAACAAAGGCCTTATTTTATTTAGAATGACACCACTAATCTAACCATGAAACGCTTCTTATCTTCATCCTGTATAGTCAGTCAGCCTTCTGTGTCAATTTATATTGCGGCCGTTGCGTCTGGATGACGTGTCGCCTCCGGTTCGTTGCCGGTTGCCGCATGGTCCGCCTGTCAAAACCCGTCGCCCTGTCAATTAGGCCCCCCAATAATTATGCACACGCCGGACCCCGCATCTGTTTCTAATGGTGTTGTCACGTGGCAGGGGAGAGAAAACTTTTTGCGTATACGACGTTTTTTTAACACGGCAATGACTTTTCTGAATTATTTAGAAATTAAAAATGAATTTGCATTTGTACACTTCGTTAGGCAAATGCAAACTGTTGGTGGTAAACTGTTTTAGTGTAAAAGCTTTGGGACAAGTTAGTTGGTATGTTGGGACCCCACCAAGCTTGCTAGGATTATATACATCTACAATATAAACGTCGGTTGAGTAGACTTATTTCATAGATAGTAAAATTTGACTGAAGTAAATGCCAAGTGAAATACAAAATAAATGTAAGAAATTTTGACAATTGGTTATTTTATTCTATCGGATTTAACTATAGTTAAATTTAACTATCGGCAAAACAACGTGGCTTTATTCAGTGAATAGTTTGGGCCTTAGTAATAAGCGAATTTTTTTGTAGTGTGTGCTTAAACTTAGTTTTTTTCTATTGCTTTTAAGTATTGAAATAAATAATAAATAAAATAAATAAATAAATAAATATTTCCAACACTCACACCAATTAGCCTAGCCCCAAAGTAAGCACTATAAGGCTTGTGTTATGGGATACTAGGGTAACGGATAGAATACATATACTGTACATATATAAGTATATTTTTATAGATATACATATTAAACATCCATGACTGGAGTAAAAATGCTCGTATTTATCACACAAACATCTGCCCCCACCGGGATTTGAACCCGGGACCTCTCGAGTCGGCGACACCATGAAACCCGGCGTACAAACCACTCGACCACGGAGGTCGTCAAATGTATTATACTTACGCTTTTGAATGCGAGGTTTTGCAGCCAAAATTAATTCACAATTTTCACAGTTCGGAGTAATGGCGTAGTAATCATGACGCTTGCAACATTGCCGAAATATCGGAAACTCGATACAAACAAGGTACATGGTAAAAATCCCGTAAATAACTTAAAATATTATAATATTAGTTTCTTTAATTATAACTGTGAAAATTTCCGACTACAAAACCTCAATACTTGCCTCGCACTAAAAATCTCTTATCTATTAGACAAGTCCGTCCGTCTGTCTGTGGTGCTGTTTCAGCGGCCAAACCGTAAGAGATAGATAAAGAGAATATTTAAGTTATAAGTTAAGAATAGTCTGATAAGACTACAAACCAGATTTGAGTAACGTAGCAGTTCCGGTTTTCGAGAAATCACGAATTTCAAACGAAACCACACAAAATCTCCTAAGTTCTCAATTAATTAAATACCTTTTTTTTTTTAAATCAGGTTTTGGTGAACATTTGGTTCACTCGTTTGCTAGTACATTTCTATATTCAAAAACACGACTGCAGCCGCGCTGAAAACGATGAAAAAAGTAAAAAATAAGACCATGCAAGTCATTGCATTCGGGGGACCATTTAAATTAAAAAGTGTTCCACAGAACGGTCCGCTAATTGCAACGGGGGTTTTAAATTTTTATTTTGTTTTTTTCATTTCACTTCGTGTGTGGAAACTCAATTCACAAACCAAGAATTTATCTGTTACGACCTTAGATTAAAACAAAAAGGGTAGATACGGCACTAGCCTCACAAAAGTGATCCGCATGAATTGTGGTCCACGACCCTAATCGCTTTAGTCACAACTTGACATGCAAACGACGTACATGTGAACGTCAAAAAGAAATATTGCTAATGCCTAAGTGTGTTTTTAAATAGTGCTCAAATTGCTCAAGAACTAAAAATAAAACCCACGGTATCACTTTTCATTCGTAAGTACTATAAAATATATTTTTTCATAAAAATTGCTGTTTGTTTTGAATCTTATTCGGTAGTGACGTCGAGTACTGGTCGCGTGATTGGTCGGTAGTGCAGTGACGCGGATCTCGCCGTCTCGCTCACGCTGGCGTTGAAACTTAACGTGCTGTTTCGCTCGGGTCGGTAATGCAGTGACGCGGATCTCGCCGTCCCGTTCGCGCTGCCGTAGGATCAGCTTTTGTTTGATGCAGGTATGAGCGTAGCGTATCTACCCTTTTTGTTTTAATCTAAGGTTACGACACATAAAATTGCCATGCAATCAAACCTATTAACGGTTTTGTCATCCAAAAAAATCGGAAACAATTAAAATACCAATTATCTATTTAACAATTTATTATTTCCATATAATTAAATATTTATCGCTACCAAAAATGTAATAGAAAATATTATGAAATTGACATTGTTAAAATTATTATTGGTTATAATGACTTGCGGTCTTACAAGATGAATCTTTCCAGGCGTTCAGATCCATTCCAGGTATTTCATTGCAACTGCAAATTTGATTTCTGAAACATAAAAAAGTTACGAAGCTATACGAATACGTAATTTTTCAGAGAACTTAAGAGCAGAGGCGTGCTGAGAGACATTTGAGAAATAAATATCTGAAAAAACTGTTGCTATCACGTATTGGCAAATACGTACTGGCACGTATTGGCAATAGAGGAGCTCGATGGCGCAAGTGGTTAGCGCCTTCGGCTGCGATCGTTAAACTTTAGTAACTTTCGCAGTGGTCGGTCATTGGATGGGTGACCAAAAATTTACTATCTCGAGCTCCTCCGTGCTTCGGAAGGCACGTTAAGCCGTTGGTCACAGCTGCATCCGCAGTCGTTAGAACCCACCAAGTCACACTTGGCTCGTGTGGTGGGTCATGAACCAATCTCCCTATTCCATCCATAGGGAAGGCCTGTGCCCCAGCATTGGGGACATTAATAGGCTGATGATGATTGGCAAATACCGTGCGATAAGGACAACAGTAGTTAACTCTGCAAATTGCAAAATTCGAGGTTTGGCTCTCGACGATTTCCTTCTCGAAAATTATATATGATATGTAAAAGAAAATTAAGCTAAAGAATAAAAAGTAGTTAAACTATGCCTCTATGTTTTCCTTTGTCTGTAAATGCTTATTAAATCTGCACACTAGACGTCTGTAGCGGTGATAAAAATCTGTATATTTTTTAAATTTCATCAAGTTTCTTTGAAACGTAAGTTATCGAAGAGAAGAAGACGTAGGAGCATAGAATAAGTAAAATTATATTTCACTAGCGGTCTGCCCTCGCTTCACTTCGGTGTAGAGCTGAAGTGTAGACTACAATTTTTGTTCTCAGGCTTGTATTATACACAATGACATTCATCTATGATTCTTCTTATACCTGCATGCAAAGTCTCAGCCCGAACGGTTTAAAATTGCAAGGATCATATAAACTTTCATTCCCTATTTTATCACCTTTGGGGTAGAATTGATCAAAATCCTTTCTTAGTGGATGCCTACGTCATAACATCTACCTGCATACCAAATTTCAGCTCGATCCGTCCAGTGGTTTAGGCTGTGCGTTGATAGATCACTATGACAGTCAGTCACCTTTGAGTTTTATATATATAGAAAATGTATGAAAATCAATTATTTTGTGTTGAAAATCCAGGAGGAATCAGACGAGAATGTTTGTATGGACAAATGCCCTCCTCCCCTCTTGACGCATGATCTAATGCCCGTTGCATAATATGTATATCTTTAATTATGCATACAAATAGCACGCTGCTCCATAATTGACAGAACACAGGATGGCAGAACGTCAGACATGATATTCGATTAGGCAGTATTAAATAGGGATGATGACTATTTGTTTTTTCTTCGTTTATCAGGGAGATCATCAAAAAGTATTGGACACGTATTTTTTCTTTTTTCACATAATATAAACATTGCAGAGATATATTGATTTGAAAAGTTGCATGACGTCACGTTTTAGTACACTTTTAAGTGCAAATTCACTAAAAGTGACGTCACGAGCCCCTACTCCCAAACTTTGACGCGCTATAACTTTGTCATTTTTTGGTTGATTGCCCAAAGAAAAAATACGTGTCCATTATTTTTGATCATCTAACTGACGGACTAAATAGAATTTCGTTTACTGTACCCCGTCATCACCCCTATTTCCATTTAACGGTTAAAAATTTACTTGATTTTTCCGGTAAATGACATTCCCGGTCATAACTGAATGGCTGGTTAATTCGGTAGAAATGTTTTCATTGTATAGCGTACTATGTATTACCCTCGGATCAAAAAATGGCCCTTTTTTTGAATCCGATCCGAGGCCCAAGCAAGAGTTTTTTACAGCTCCGTAATGGAACGTAATCGGCAAATTTTGTATGAAATAAGCTAAATTGTTCTTACTTCCGATACCCCGGGGCGCTACTTAGTTCTCATAGAAACTTTGGCGATAACGTTATTTTACGGAGCTGTCCAAACTCGTGCTTGGACTAATCTCACTACTGACACAATAATCCAAATTCAAAATATCTTTATTCAAATTGAAGCATAATACAATAGGGTATTTGACAAGTTTTATAAAATGATCTCACGTTATTGACTAATGTTTATGGAGTCGGTAAAAAGTGGATGGATATAAATCATTCTGTTGTGTATTTCAGTAAAAATAACCAAATCAAAAACTCCATTTTCAAGTTGCCGCGAAAACGTTTCTCTGGACAATATGGCGTCTTACTAGTGTGTGACGTCACACGACTGTAATTAGAACGTCAAACGTTACAATGTAATGTCTCTTTAACCGGAAGTTTACTTGCCTGTGACGTCATGTTTTGCTCCGCCAATCCCAAGCGTTTTGGGTCACGTGACAATAGATAAGAAAACTGTTATCTTTTTCGTGGGTTTTTCGTAAAATTATGAATATTTTTTTTTGTAAAAATAGTAAAAACCCCTGCCAATATTCATTCTAAGCACAGAAGCTAACAATTGGCACTTTATTTTTAATACTGTCAAATACCCTATTATTTTAAATCGTCCATGCTTTTTTCCCTACCACCAGTTAAGGACATATTTAGCTGTCGAGAAAAAGGGGCGAAAAAAACTTCACAGCGAATAACGTTTTACTCTGTGCAGAGACACAAAGATACTACAATACGAGTAATTGAATATTATTTGGCTGTAGTCTTCTATAAAATGGAGGAAGCATACCCAGTTCCAGATTTTATTTACTGTCGTAATGTCTCTTAAATTGAACATGTCCTGCAATTCTTGTCGTTTGAAGCCGTTTCTAAGAATTTACAAAACTTACTTGGGACCTTCTCTGAGGAACCCGTGGGGCTGTATTCTTGACACTTTATCACCATTATCACACAGCAGCCTCGAGACGGACACTTTTCTGATCTCCATCAGTTGTTCTGGAATAGGCAATGATATTTTTAATAGCTTTCCAAGGACTTCTTTTGCGTCTTAGTGGTATTTATTTTAAAAATATATACTTTATATTGTAGGCAACTTTGAAGGCAAAGGTTAATATTTCCATGGATCCAAAATTTTACCTATGGACGAAACCAGGTTAGACCATCCATACCATCAAGTTGGTACGAACTTTATATATATAATATTTATAAATATTATTGTTCTGCAGTTCTTTTATTCAATAAACCTTTATCCAGAATTTTATTTTACATTTCTGTTCCAAGTTTTTTTGGCATTTGCAAAAATGGTATGACTGACATAATAACATTATGATACTGGCTTAATGCCATATATTTTAAAGACATAACATTATAGTTGAACAAATTTAAACTTACCAGCAGTAAAAGCGTTGGGTCTATTCGGTCTCTCGTACCAGTGTCTATCGGACACTACGAACCGCATCATCTGTTCCGACATGATGCAGTACAGTGTTTCCGGGATATATCCTCCTTTCACCTTCCTTTCCAGCCACATGCCGGCAATAAGGTCGATATCGTCCACTGTGTTGTAACGTTCTTTGAGCATTTCCAGTCTCTATAAAAGCGTTCCAATAATTAATAGAAAAATGACAATGCCTAATATTCGTACCATGTATTGGGACATAGCAGCAACTCGACCAATTTCTAGATAAAAACCCCCTTTGGAAAGACACGTTGATTTTATGTATACCTATACAATTTTATTTATCAGAGTCACTTTTTAACTGGTGATAACCAAATTTTTGATGGTCTGATCCGAAAACCTTCACCTCATTGATGATGTCGATGAATAACAGTCCTTTTTTGGTGTTGTGTTTCTATAGTAGAAAAAGTTTGCAGGGCTCTACGGGATATGGAAGATTTTGGGCGGTAAGGCTGGTGCGTTTGTTATTTCCACATGAGTTATCTTTGTAACTCAGCTCCAATCAGTTGCATAAATTTTCCCTAGATTCAAAGTCACAGATACATTTTTAATATACAGATGCTTATAACTTGCTTGCGCTATTTATTTAAGTAAAAGTTATTTTATTTTTAAGGCTCACCTCAGGTTCAAAAACTTCTTTTAGATCGTCGAATGTATCATAAGTTTTGCCGAAGCAAAATTTCCTGTAAGTGATGTATGACTGAAACCCAAATAATCTGTTCTTGGCTAAGTCACTGGTCATTATATCAAATGCATGTTGGTGAGGTCCCAAACCAACTTCAGAAATCTGAAACAGTAGTTTTGTAAGTTATTAAGGATAAATAACTAATAATGTAAAATAAATAAATATATCTATCAATATTAATGGATAAACATCTTTCAGATTTGAATTAGCCAGAAATTTCTATAATTGGACGATTGAATTCACAGCTTTGCTGATTTATTAATATAACAACCTTTCAAGTATTGTATATTATCGTTTGATGGAAAAAAGTCTATGACAATAGTGTATTTATTAATGTGGCTACTTGTTACAATGAGAGTAGCTAAAAATTTAATTCAGAAATTATCATGATATGAAAGACAACACTTATTTATATAGCACCACCCAGTAATTCATTTGTGAATAATGTTTTTTGAGCTTCTTGAGCTTCTCTGAGTAAAGTTTCAGTTTTCTTGTCATGGAAATTTAAATCACCAGACATTTTACTCACATCAGGATCCACAATATTGTCGTCCCCCTTAGCAGTAGGTTGCCTGAAGCTGCCTTGTGTCACGTAATCTAAATTGTCGTCGACTGCCAACCAGCCTGTTCTTAACGTCAGGTTCACGATCGGAAACTCTCGGAGGTAATGACCATCTGGATGGTATAGTCTAAAATAGATCATGGTCATTGACAAAATCGAGAATAAATTAAACAGTGTCAGCTATGACATATTAAACCTTTGACATACCTACATATTTCGTTATACTGGAATTATAATTTTGAGATTTGGTTAAAAAACATAAGGTCGATTCTGCAAAATAAAATCTTACTTCCGATTTCAGTAACTGCCATTTTAGACATGAATTTGATACGCATTGCGCCATTGCACGGCAAAATGACGCTATGTCTGTAGAAGCAGCCAGTATTAGATATTTGGCATTTGTCAGAAATCCGAATAAATGAGATCGTAAGTGAGATTGCATCTTACAAAATACCTATGCAGGTGCAAGGCAAAATTCGAACTTGCGCCATCCCTACCCGGGCAGATGCTAATCATTGTTGTGCCAGTGCCAAGACTTAACGTGTCTTCTTAAGTACGGAAGACCTCGAAATAATAAATTCTAGGCATCTATTTTATGACCAGCCATTTAAAAATTCTAACTTCTACGTTCGCAGAAAATTCTGGACACTACGCTATAGAGTTCCATTGTCTTATGAGAGAATGATTTTTGATGTGTAACATCTTTCCTCTCGCTTTCCTGCAATTTGTGGGAGTGATTTCGTGAAAAGCTCGAGCTATTTGATTTGATTTTAGAAAATAATGTTCAAATGTTTTATTCATTTTGTAGTAGGTTTTATTTCTTTTTTTACTAATATAAGGTGAAGTTTCAAATGTTACACATCATACACGACTACTGTAAGGTGAAGGTTACTTATCCAGACGGGCGCTCAAACTCGAGCGGATAATTCGCTATGCCCTATCACTCTAAATTGATAAAAAAGAATAACGCATCTTTAAATTTTAACTCACTTTAAGGAGCCTTCTTGCATGACATGGAACCATCTTGTAGCGAACGGATATTCCAGAGCGATCTGCGGTACTTTCTGATCATTATAAAGATCTCTGAATCCAGGTGACGACGAAATCACACTGTCCCTTAGCAAGTTGTCTTTTCCTGTAAATTAGAAAGGGCAACTTTAGAACCAATATTTGTACACAAAATATTATCTATGTACTTTAAGCACACAGAAAATGCAAATCAACAGACATCTAAGCTTCTAAATTTACAAAATATCTACAAATATTACTTTGGACAAACTCTAATTGCAGCGTTGTTAAAGCTGCGAGTCTTACAGTAAATGATAATTTATCTGTTTCAAAACCTCACACTTTTGATGTATTGCCCACCCCGTCACAGACCTTAATTGTATTATGTGAAACTTATGCGTATGTAAATTATCTTATGTAGAAACCTCGAAGAAGCGGGTTTTAATTGTTTCCGTAGTAATTTAATTATCATACAGTCATAATTATACAAGAAAAATATCATTATTATAATGATTAGGGTAATAATATAATAAGAATGAACAATGACGACTTCCATGGCCGAGTGGTTTGTCGGGTTTCATGGTGTCGCCGACTCGAGGGTTCCAGGTTCGAATCCCGGGGGCAGATGTTTGTGTGATGAATACGAACATTTGTATTCCAGTCATGGATGTTTAATATTTATTTCTATTTAAACATACTTATATATGTACAGTATATGTATTTTATCCGTTACCTTAGTATCCCATAGCACAAGCCTTACAGTGCTTACTTTGGGGCTAGGCTAATTGGTGTGAGTATATTGTTTTAAGCTTTCATGGTCACTAACATTACAGCTATTAACGGGGTTGTTACCATGTACATTGTGGTGTGGCGCGTATAAATAGCCCACACCTGGGGTGGATTACACCGAAATTATAAATTATGTGGTTCAATACCAGGAAAAAGGAAGCGCCCACTTACCTCGGGCGTAATGTGAGGCGGCTGGACCTTGCTTTGCCGTCATTCCAGAAGGCGCACGTCACAATTATAGTTTTTTCGATTGTCCCGAATATTTTAATAATAATTAAAGAAAAGTATTGACACACATCTTGACAGTTTTTGAAGGAAGAGAGTAAGTCACTTTTTTACACGAAAGGCACCATAAACAATGTTTGTTCCAGTAACCAGCCAGTGCCCTCAGCCACGGCGACATAAATCCCACAGATAAGTGGGCGCGAGAAGTTTTCCTGGTATATCGCCACACATAACAGAATAGAAACATAATTTTACCAATTAAACTAAAACCATCCTTATGGCGCTCGACCACTTTGTTTTTTATGAGTCTCCGATATTTCGGCACTGTTGCAAGCGCCATGATCACGGAGTAACTGAAGTGATTGCGGGTAGATGTTATTGGCAGAAATATCGGTCTACCCTCTGATGTCGTCTTTTACTGCGCTCGATACCATAAAAAACAAGGTACATGGTAACAATCCCGTTAATAGCTGTAATAATTGGTGTGAGTGTTGGAAATATTTATTTATTTATTTAAAATACAAGTTTACCCATGAGTAACGGCATGAGTTCGTAGAACACTATCTGAGTCCACGTAGCTATGTTTATATCCCGTGCAGTGTAGAACAGTTTGTCGTCGCACCAGCAAGGGTTCAATTCGGAGAGAGTATCAGCAATTCTGTTGTGGTTCCTCCAGAACCATATGCTGAAGAGGTTGATACCAAGCAGTGTGTTCGCTCCATCTTCAGCTGTATGTAAAGATTAGTAAATATCATTTAGAATCTTGGCAGTGAATTTTATTCTCAGAAAATACACGAGCCCCTACTCCCAAACTTTGACGCGCTATAACTTTGTCATTTTTTGGTTCATTGCCCAAAGAAAAAATACGTGTCCATTATTGATTGATCATCTAACTGACGGACTAAATAGAATTTCGTTTACTGTACCCCGTCATCACCCCTATTATACCTCAGAAGTAGTATTAAGTAACGTCTGATGACCTTTGTTTGTAGTTTGGGTGACCTGCGACACATTCTTCGAGACTAATGCGAGTATTAACGACCTAAGAATGATATTGTTAATGTTCAAAAATAAACATTTTATTATTATTTGTTGTATCTACGTGCATTATCATTAATGAAACAGCTGGGATAACAACGGTTTTGATATTATTTATAACTTATATTATACTAATTCGTAGTACCAAAGGAATTGTTTGTTGTAGTTAAATAAGAAAATCATGTTACAAATAGGTAGTAGAACTAATGAAAGAACTTAGTAAACTAAATGCAAATATTCAAGGTTCATTAGAACTTTTATGTCAATAATTCATGAGCAGACCATGTAAAATATTCTGTGCAACTGAAAACGCAGAATTTATTATATTATAGCAATTCCTGCTTAATCTTAAACTGTCCCAAAAAAAAACAATTTATTTATTAATCATGACCTCTGCGGCGCAAATGGTTTGTACAGCAGTTTCAAGGTGCTGCTTACTCAGAGGTCCTGGACTCTTATTCCGGCGGGCAAATGTTTGTATGCTGAATACAAACATTTGTTATTAAATCATGACTGGTGTTTATATATATTTCAAGAATTATATTTTATGTAACGACCTCCGAGGTGGAGTGGTTTGTTGGTTTTCATGGTGTCGCCGGCTCGAGAGGCAGTGAGGTGGGGGCAGATTTATTGTGATGAATACGAGCATTTGTACTTCAGTCTCTTTAATATGTATTTCTGTATAAATATAGTTATATATGTACAGTATATGTATTCTCTCCATTACCCTAGTATTCCATAACAAAAGCCATAACACAAGCCTTATAGTGCTTGCTTTGGAGCTAGGTTAATTGGTGTGAGTGTTAAAAAAAAAGTAATCGCGACTTTGTCTGTGTTAAAAAAAAAAATTTTTTTGATACTAGCTTCCAATCCCATTTTTACTTCTTTAAATGATGATTTCCGGAACATAAACTACACTATTTCCTTGCTCAGGACGTAAACTATCTCTAATACAAATTTCATCTAATTCGATTCAGGGGTTTATACTTCAAGAGGTAATCGAAACGCAGACAGGAAGTATGGTTTACGTAGAAAAAGAACCGCTTTATTTAAACTCACGCATAGCATGACACCTTGTTTCAGCAGGTTTTTGATTCAACAGGCACAGGTCGACCTTTGTCTTAGTACTGGGTGGCCAGATCCTGCCATCCTCTATCTCGTACTGGAGCAAACCGTTTGTGAATTTTCTTCCTTTCTTCTCCAAAGCTTCATACAAGTTACCGTACATTTGCGATAAGTCCATCGCTGGTGTTGATGAGACGATCTAGTAGAAGACAAAACTATTAGTTCTATTATTCACTAATAGTTATTTCTGATGGTTTATCGCGCGTAAGTTTCAGGAAAAAAGTTATAGTCTGTCACCCTCAAAAAATAGACATAATAGGGTATTTGACAAGTTTTAGAAAACGATCTGACGTTAATGACTCATGTTTATAGAGTCCGTAAAAAGTGAATATTCATCATTCTGTTGCGTACCTACTTCAGTAAAAATAACCAAATCAAAAACTCCATTTTCAAGTTGCCGCGAAAACGTTTCTCTGGACAATATGACGTTTTACTAGTGTGTGACGTCACATGACTGTTATTGAAACGATACAATGTAATGTCACTTTAACCGGAAGTTTACTTGCGTGTGACGTCATTTTAGGCTCCGCCAATCCCAAGCGTTTTGGGTTACGTGACCATAGATAGAATAGAATAGAATAATCTTTATTTGCATTAAATAGGGTTGACAAAAGGTGTTTGCATATAAAGCATATGTTAAAAGCTAAGAATCTTAAACCTATTTAGCCATATTAATAGCATGCAAAAAATTCTAATATATTAAAACATAACAGTCATATTAAATTTCTCTATCATTCATTTAATAACAAGTATTTTATCATTATAATTTAAATTCAAATTTATGTCAATATTAATTACAATTCTCAATGTCAGTTCAAAATAAAAATATTTTATGTCAATTTAGTGTCATATACCAATAATAACAAAATTTTTTCAGTATGATAATTTAAGATTATTATTCAATTCAATAAGAAAACTATTATCTTTTTCGTTGGTTTTTAGTAAAATTGTGAATATTTTTTTTGTAAAAATAGTAAAGACCCCTGCCAACATTCATTCTAAACACAGATGCTAACAATTGGCACTTTATTTTTAACACTGTCAAATACCCTATTATGCCGTGACCGACTATTTTGTAAGACTTTTTTATGAGATGCATTCCTTTATCAATGTTTGTGTAACTTTAACCATTTTCGCCGTGCTCCCATGGCGTGCACTGCTCACTGCTCTGAGCAATCTTCAAATTCATCAATGAAAACGTAGTAATGACTGGAAAAAATATATGCCATTTAAGGGCTTAATTGTACAATAGAACATCACAATATAAGCAATAGGAGCAAAGCATAAATTCAGGGTTTATTATATTTTGCATTGGTGCTTTGCTTCTTGCCATTTAAATAGCAAAATGTGAAAAAAATAAATTAAAATGTTCTTGTGCTATATAGCTTATAGTCATTTCCATTTATCGAAAATGACTTTAAGCTATATATTTTTCTTATGTTTATTATTTTTCTGTTTTTACTACATTTACATTGATGATTCGCTCCTTGGTCACAGCGTGATTTTATATAGCTTAAAAACCCCACGCAAAATAGGTACTGGGTGTCGAGTTGCGGAAACACTCCGCCGTACTACTATATAGCTTAAAGTCATCTTCGATAAATGGAAATGACTTTAAGCTATGTAACAATATATAACACAAGAACATAATTCGTTCACGCGTTCAAACAGTATTCAGCTTTATAATAAATTAGTATTGATTAATTAAAACGTACTGAACAATATAATGACTAAGTTTTAAATGTAAAAACAGTTGTTTTATTCAAAGGCAGTAAATAATTTATATTAAGAATTCTACAGTTTATTTTTACTACACTAATTAGCTGGAGGTCATCGTCACGCATCGTTTAAGTTATGTAAATGAACCCAAGTCTGTATTAACTAGGCATTTATTTTAATTAATTTTATACGAATCTTTATCTAGTTAACACTAGCCTGTCTATAATTACAACTACTAACATATAAACTGAACTAGGAGCCGGAAAAAGATTGTGTGAATAGGGAAGATGCAAATATATAATATTTATGAAAATTTTATGACTAAAATGTTAAAAAAAATATAAAAGGAAGGCCACTGCAACGTTTTTATTTTACATAATGTTGTTTTTTAACAATAATTACGAATTAAAAATGACTTGAAAAAAAAATGTATTTAAAACACCAATCAGCGTTTAGTGACGTCACTCCTGTTATGACAAATTATTAGAGGTTATGGTTGTAAAAGTGAATATTATTAATTGCGTTTTTTAATAAAAATGGAAGTTGGGTTTATCAAAGCAGACTCCAGGAATTTACCAAGAGTTAGTGTTGACATAGTATAACTTTTTTTGTCCAAAGTGCAGAGTTTTCAAGTGTAGAAATGAAAGGGACTAAATTACTATCTACTATATAAAAATAAGTCGGGTTTTCCTTCCTGACGCTATAACTCCAGAACGCACGAACCGATTTCCACGGTTTTGCATTCGTTGGAAAGGTCTCGGGCTCCGTGAGGTTTATAAGGTTTATAGCAAAGAAAATTCAGGAAAAATTAAATAAAAAAACTTCTTTTAATCACCAAACGAAATGTTACATAAAACGAAGCCATCTGGTGGCGAAACGGAGTTCGCCGGGTTTGCTAGTGGTATATATAAATCAAAGCTGTTAAGCTTTGTATTTTATGCAGCGGCTTCTACACATAAATTATTTGTTGTGAATTGATAAAGACAAGATTTCAAAGAGTTAAGTTGAGGTCTTAATATAAAAGATCAGACCCATATATAGCGTAGTAATAGGTACTATTATATACTACTTAGCAAGCATCAGCCTATTAATGTCCCCATTGCTGGGGCATAGGTCTTCCCCTTGAATGGAATAGGGAGTTTAGGCCATGACCCACCACGCGGGCGGGCCCAGTGCTGCTTGGTGGGTGCTAACGACAGTATTACATATGCCGAGATCAACGTGCATTCCGAAGTACGGAGGAGCTCGGGATAGTAAATTTTTGGTCAACTATCCAATGACCGACCACTGCGAAAGTTGCTTCACTTCAACGATCGCAGTTGAACACGCTAACCACTTGCGCCATAGAGCTCCTCTCACCACTTGCAATGGACTGAGCGTAATATTTGAAAAGTCAATCAAATAAAATAGTCAATCGCAATATTGTGGAGACATGAAATTATGCCTCAGAAACCACATTGACAAATATCTCATTTGATCCAGTTGGGCTGGCCAAGTTCCGTACAAACCTGAATTTTCAAAAATATTTTTTATTATATGATGTAACTAAAAATGTACGGTTTTCGCAACTTTTCCTTTATCTGTACTATAAGACGTTACTTCGTACCAAATTTCAAGATTCTAAGTTCACGGGAAGTACCCTGTATGTTTTGATTCCCGTGCGAGTTTCGAAAAGTTGCGGAAATTAGCGGCATAAACGGCTGTATCTTTTGATTGCTTTGTCTTAGAAGTTAGTTTTTTTTACAGCTCCAAGGGACAGTAGACATGAGTATTAGATATGAATTTCAGTTTGATACCTCCACGCGATCCTGTGAAAAACGGTCTTGACAGACGGACGGAGGGACGGACAACAAAGTGATCCTATAAGGGTTACGTTTTTCCTTTTGAGGTACGGAACCCTAAAAACCAAACCAGTTTTTATCAAATCACATTTTCGTTACTTACCCTTTCCGGTACAGTGCCGTTTTCGACACATCCTGAGGACTGGAAAGTCTCTGGTCTAGTCAAGTTAAGGCAACGTATTCCCGAGAATCTGTGTACCGGGTCATCGATAGGAACTTCATTGGGTGTGCAGCTCGGATCAGTTTTGCCTTTCGGAAGACAGCAGTAAGGTTTCCATATAATGTAGTTGACTGAAACATTAATATTTGGTATTTCGTAATGTCTGTAAACAGCACAGAAAATGTTATGCCTACGTTGAATCCACAGATTCACACAGTAAATTAAACGATGCCTACATTTCAACCTATGCATAGAATAAAGTAATCTACATGGAACCAACAACAGAGCTGGTGCGGCTTGTGAAGCGGCTGAAAAAGCAAAAGCAAGCAAATACAGGGGTCTAGGCTCCGAATATGATTTTGTCCCATTCGGTGTCGAGACCCTTGGTCCGTGGGGTCCTAGCGCTTTAAGGCTATTTAAGGAAATAGCAAAAAGGTTAGTCGACATCACAGGAGACCGAAGAGCTGGCAGCTACCTCGGACAAAGAATTAGTCTAGCCATTCAAAGGGGTAACGCTGACAGTATCTTCGGATCCTTGCCTAAAGGGACTCTTTTTAATAATATATTTTAGTTATTAATTTTATTTTTAAGGTTTTTAGTTTTATTGTTCTAGTATTTATATATAGTAATTATGTATTTAATTTATATAAATATACCTATATATGTACATTCAAAAATAATCTTCCATAGCTTAAATAGGGCCAGCCATAATAAATGGCCATTCACGAATAAAGTTACATATGAAAATGTTATCAAATTACTTTTATTATACTTTTAGGCGAAACGGACGCATGTTTTATTGGTAAAAACTCGAATTCGAAAACTTATATAACTTCGAAGATAGCAATTGAATAAAGGTACATGTGAATTTTGTTTCCGAAGAATATAGAGTCAAGAGCACTAGTACCTTTTGGATAGGCAAGAAAGCAGCCTGCACGGCTTCAATTTTGTTACAAACTGAGACTTTTTACTAAATGTTAGATTCTATTTTTCTTATTTGCCATATTATAATAATGTGACGCGACAGGACATATGAATTTTATAAAACAAAGTTATATCTTCACATAATATTGACACGTTTCCCAAGCATAAGGTCTGATATGCATATGTAACATAAAGATGTCCGTAGTAAATTGTCACATAACCACATATGATACTCTTAAATAACAAAATATGAGCCGTAAATGTAGTTCTTTTTAAACAATAAATGCGTCATAATTTGCTGCTCAATGCTTTATATGATTGGTAAAAAAACAAATGCTAGAAAAATACCAATAAAAGTTAAAACAAATTTTACATCTTCCAAACTTCAAATCGCTCTACTGTAAAGTAGGGATTATGCAGAAGTAGCTTTATCCTATGGATAGGTCGAGTTAATCAACTGTTTCTTTTTATATCTGAAGAATCTTTATTTACACACCAAAGCCGTACTAATTTATATAATTCTTATTTTAAACTAGCTGTGCCCCGCGGTGTTACCCGTGGTTTATTAGGGACATTTTCCCGCAGTAAAACGTCCCCCGCATGCAATGACTTGCACGGTCTTATTTTTTACTTTTTACATCGTTTTCAGCGCGGCGGCAGTCGTGTTTTTGAATATTGAAATATACATATTATCGTGTTTTTGAATATTGAAATGTATTATACTCTTGCTTTTTAGTGCGAAGTAAGTATTAAGCTTTTGCAGCCACAAATAATTAACAATTTTCACAGTTACAATTAAAGAAACTAAAACTACAAAAGATTAAGTTTTTTTTTTACATTAAATAGGCTTACGCTTGACGGCAACGCGACTGATGAAGAGCGACGTAGCAGCCTAAGGTGGGACGCGCTTGCCTAGAAGAAACCGATTCACTCGCGACTTGAAGAGCCCCAGATTGTAGGTGACTGGAAACAGATTCCGGCAATTACGGGGTTATTTACGGGATTTTTACCAAGTACCTTGTTTTTAGGGAGTTGCAAGTGCCATGATTACTACGCTATCTATTGCTTCGTGATTATTGTGCTTGCGTCTTTAATTGTAACTGTGAAAATTGTTAATTATCTTGGGCTGCAAAACCTCAATACTTACCTCGCACTAAAAAGCGATAGTTTAATACGTTTCAATATTTAAAAATAATAGAAAGAAACTAAGTTTAAGGACACACTACAAACTATTCACTATAGTTCAATTTAATTATAGTTAAATATAAAAAAAAACCACTTGTCAAAACACATTTATTTTGTACCAGCTGTGCCCCGCGGTGTTACCCGCGGTTTATTAGGGATATTTTCCCGCAGTAAAACGTAGCCTTTGTGTTAATCCAGGGTGTCGGCTAACTCCATACCAAATTTTATTAAAATCGCTCCAGCCGTTAAGACGCGAAGAAGTAACAAACATACACACTCACAAACTTTCGCCATTATAATATTAGTGTGATGTATTAATTATTTAATTTTTCCTTCTCATCGGGGTTAGTAATAAATTTAGAACTGGAAATTTATCATAATCATATTTTGTGTCAAGTTTGTTTGGGCTATTTTAATTTAGAAGTAAAATGTTTTTATTTTTTAAGCATTTAACTGCTAGATGTTTAAATCTATAGAAAAGTTCTACTAGAAAAAATCCACGTGGACCAGACAGCGGACGGGACTCGAACCCGCACCCTTCGCCCGGCCCTGATGGCCGCGTCGAAAAAGTATTCATTTGACTTTGTGGGTTACCTACAATGCGAAGAGATGGCGCTGCCTTGCAGCTTAAGGCTAGGAAAATTTCGACGCGGCCATCAGGGCCGTGGTAGCATAATTGGTCAGTGCATTCGCCCGGATTGCGAAGGGTGCGGATTAAAGTCCCGTCCGCTGCCTGGTCTACGTGGATTTTTTTCTAGTAGAACTTTTCTTTAGAAGTAAAAGTTGAAATTTTTAACGATTGCAATCTTACCAGTGTCTTGAAGTGAAACAATATCACTGACGTGGAAGGCTAAACTGTGCGTGACTAGTTGAGTGAAGACTTGGTCTGGTACTTTCCCTTCAGCAACTAAACTCGTGCGCAGGTGCCTAGCTAGAGGCAGCGGTCCGCCGTCACTGGCTTTACGAGGCTCGAATCTGTCCTGTTCTATAATAAGAAACGAGATGCAAGTTAAACTTTAAAAGGTTCTACCTATACTTAAGTGATGTTACTCTGGCTTTTACGAAAGTGGACAAAAAAGTCTCTTTTCGGCTGGGAATTGAAACCGAGCCGCCCGTGTTGCAGGCGAGCTTTCTACTATTTACCAACAAAGCTTGTTAAAAAGGTCTGATTTTTCAGTAGTAACGAAAAATGTAATGCGAAATGCTAAAAATGAACAAAGATGTGGCGATATAATAAAAAAAATCACTCTTAAACAGTTTTTATTCAGTAGCTTTCAGCATTATTTCTATTAGCATGAGCACCACGATATTATGATTGATATATAACGCGTTTTTATCAATCTCAACTTTGACAGTTGGAAGGGATAAAAAAACGTGTTATAATGTAAAGTGTGGTGCTCATGTTACAGGGGCGTAAAATAATAAAGAACTAGATCATTTTTTATATTCATAAACTGACTTTGGACGATATCGTTGTTTGTATTATTACATTACTGTATTATACATTTTTTTAAACATCAGATTTCATTGCAGTGATCCATACCACGTAAGTGGATTTAAATAATTAAATAAGTTCACCAATATATTAAATATCCGGGCTATTTATATAATTATTTTATTTGTTTTTAGTTTTAAATATTATTAGCGTAATTAAAACATTGAAGGTTGTTTCAATATCGTAAAATTAACTACGCATCGTTTTGTAGGAACTTATTCTATTGTGCTTGTTAAATGTTCATTGTGGAGTTCAAAAGAAATATTTTCACAAAGACCTTTACTGCAGGCACATAATAGTGGGTAGTATTTGCAGTAGATCAGAAGCAGCAGAGGAGCTCGAACTATCGCAATGGTCGGTCATTGGATGGGTGACCAAAAATTTACTATCCTGTGCTCCTCCGTGCTTCGGAAGGCACGTTAAGCCGGGGTGGTCCCGGCTGCATTTGCAGTCGTTAGCACCCACCAAACCGCACTGGGCGGGCGTGGTGGGTCATGACCTAATCTCCCTATTTCATCCATTGGGAAGGCCTGTGTCCCAGCAGTGGGGACATTAATAGGCTGATGATGATGATTATGATGCATCCCTGGAACCTTGCTCGGTCTCTTCTCCAAATATCTTATTTGACATTTCGTTTTAGAATAAATATTGTCTTGTTCTTAAACAAATAAGCATTGTTGTGTTTTTATTTATTTTAAGCATTTAACTGCTAGATGTTTAAATCTAAAGAAAAGTTTACTAGAAAAAATAAAAATGATGTGGTGTCGTGGGACACCAGGTAGGAACGAAGTTCCTTCAACTAATGTAGAATCGACACAAATTGCAAACTCGCTTGTGTATGCGACTGTCGCGCCTGCGCACGTCTCATTTAACGGTTTTATTTCCACGGATTTTTTCTTACGGTTTTACTATCACATTTTTTTCAGTTCAGTCGCGCAGCAAAATCCCTATCCCCTCCCAAGCCTGCCGTAAGGAACTTCGTTCCAAAAACCTACCATGGGTTACCTACAGTGCGAAGAGATGGCGCTGCCTTGCAGCTTAAGGCTAGGAAAATTTCGACGCGGCCAATAGGGCCGTGGTAGCAGAATGGTCAGTGCATTCGCCCGGATTGCGAAGGATGCGGGCTCGAGTCCCGTCCGCTGCCAGGTCCGCGTGGATTTTTTTCTAGTAAACTTTTATTTAGATTTAAACATCTAGCAGTTAAATGCTTAAAAATAAAATAAAATCATAACTATAATTGCTATTTCTTCTTTCAAATGTTTAATACTTGAAAAAGTATTCATTTGACATTGTGGGTTATCTACAATGCGAAGAGATGGCGCTGCCTTGCAGCTTAAGGCTAGGAAAATTTCGACGCGGCCAATAGGGCCGTGGTAGCATAATGGTCAATGCATTCGCCCGGATTGCGAAGGGTGCGGGTTCGAGTCCCGTCCGCTGCCTGGTCCGCGTGGATTTCTTTAAATAAGCATTGATTTGTTATCCTACCTGTGTCGTACGTTGCAGGTAGCAATCTATAGAATGGTGTGTGGGTGGCGCCTCTTGTGGGATGCTTCAGGTTATTGCAAGAACCGTCCACGCGTCTACCCTCATTGTGGTCGCACGGTTGAATTTGATTCACGCACCAGCTTAAACAAATATACGTATATTTTATTTCCAACCTGAGGATTTCGATGGCGCAAGTAGTCAGTACGTTCGGTCTGCGATCGTGAAAGCTAAGCAACTTTCGCAATGGCCGGTCTTTGGATGGGTGATCAAATAATTATTATCGCCAGCTTCTGCTTGTTTTGGTAGACACGGTAAGCCGTTGTCCCAGTTGCATCTGCAGTCGTTAGCTCTTCTCTTATTCACACTTGGCCCGCGTGGTGGGTTATTATCCAATCTACTTATGCCATCCATTAAGACGGCCAGTGCCCCAGCAGTGAGGACATTAATAGGCTGATGATGATCATTTCCAACCCTTGACCTTGCAGTTACTAAGTGGATTAACAAAAAACATATTTCTCACAAATGTTCTCTTGACACAATCAAAACGTAAATATTTATTGGTACAATCGTTTGAAAGTAATGCGAGTAGTATTTAGATTAATATTAAACAACATCAAGGAGCTCGATGGTGTAAGTGGTTAGCGCGTCCGGCTGCGATCGTTGAAGTTAAGCAACTTTCGCAGTGGTCGGTGATTGGATGGGTGACCAAAAATTTACTATCTCGAGCTCCTCCGTGCTTCGGAAGGCACATTAAGCCGTTGATCCCGGGTGCATCTGCATTCGTCAGCACCCACCAATCTGCACTGGGCCTGCGTGGTGGGTCATGGCCCAGTCTCCCAATTCTATTCATAGGGAAGGCGCCCCAGCAGTGGGGACTATAATAGGCTGATAGGCTGATGATAATGATTTTGAGACGATTTCTGTAACGGGTAGGAGATTGGGTTCAGGCCGGTAAGGTGAAGATGGCTGAAGGGGCACACTTTCTGCCGCATCATCCATCTTCGCGACTGAACTCCACTTACACTTACACTTAACATCAAGTGGGGTGGGGTAATATGTAACGCCTCGTATTTATATAAAAAATCTAGCAGTACCCATACTTCCCATTCTAATTAGAATTGATAAATTAGAAAAAAAAAACTATTTACAAAAGGTAGCTAGATCTTAGTATAATATTATTTCTGTGTCTTTATACGTTTAAAAGTGTATAATTAACTTTTCTCTATTTCGCTTTTCACCTCCCTGTTTTCCTGTATACCTTCTTTTATCTTTACTATCCTTCTATGCTTTCTCTTTCCGACTTCTGCCCGCGCCCCTGGCTGTATCAAAAAGCAGCCTCTACAGTATATTTTAAAAAATGTTAAAATATGAATAAGAACCACTATATGCTATACTTTTGGCTGCTTCGACCGCAGAGGCCATTAAGTGCCGCAAGTATGATTGCCTCAGTGGAGACCTCACATTTGCGGTGCTTGGAGTCGAGACTCAGGAATCCTGGGGCTCCGGTGCCCACCATCTTTTCAAAGAAATCGCAAAAAGATTGGTGGAGACCGCAGAGCTGGCGGCTATTTCGCCCAGCGCATAAGCCTCGCCATTCAGCGGGGAAATACCGCCAGCGTCCTGGGAACCTTTGCCGACGGGAGTCTAAGACTTAGGGCAGCTATTTTTTTAATATTATTAATTTTTGTCTAGTTTTAGTGTAGTTTTAGTTTAATAGTAGAATAACTTGGTTAAGGGACAAATTATGAAATAACTGAATAAAAATAATATGGAAAAAAAGGTAGGTAGTTCTAAAAGGTGAAAATTTTGAATTTTCTTTTTTTTATTTTTAGCTTCAACTCTTCCATTTTAAATGTTTGTATTCAGTAAACAGTTGCTGTTATTTGCATAGAAATTAACATTTGTGTGTATATAATTAATTGTTGTATGTACACAGATGCAGGTAGATGAAAAGTGTACTTACAAAGTGGTATTTCTCTTTATGGTGTCTTTATATTCCACATCATTGATCGGGGTGCCCTTGAAGGAGTCATATCGAATAATTTCACACGTTACGTACACCAGTAACACAAAGAGTAGGCACGTTCTACCCAGCACCATTTTGATGGGCTTACCTTAGCACAAATGATTAAATTTACTAATGTTTCGGTTTTATAACGCGGTAACGTCAGGGTAATCGCAAAGTTTTATTAGCGCTGGGGATCCGTGGTGGCGGAACGTCGAATGGAAAGACCTTGATTTTTAAGTTTCGTTACTTTTTCTATTTTATTTATAGACTAATGGCCCGCCCTCGCTTCGCTTCGGTGTAGAGCTTAAGTGCAGACGATACTTTTTGTTGTCAGGCTTGTATTATCTCTTATCTATTAGACAAGTCCGTCCGTCTGTCTGTCTGTGGTGCTGTTTCAGCGGCCAAACCGTAAGAGATAGATAAAGAGAATATTTAAGTTATAAGTCAAGAATAGTCTGATAAGACTACAAACCGGATTTGAGTAACGTAGCACTTCCGGTTTTCGAGAAAGCACGAATTTCAAACGAAACCACACAAAATCTCCGAAGTTCTCAATTAATTAAATACTTTTTTTTTAAATCAGGTTTTGGTGAACATTTGGTTCACTGGTTTGCTAGTACACAATTAATTCCTTTATCTAATTGATGAAATTTTATTTAACTGATAGTGAAAATTTTGTTGCGTAGTTTAGGGCCCGTTGTACCGAATGTATTTTATTATTGGTTGAACGCGCAAATTTCAGGAACTAATGGTCCGATTTAAAAAATTTTTTTTTTGGTTTATTGTGCATTTATTGAAGAAGGCTTAAGGCTTTATTATATTACGCTGCGACCGTGTGAGCGGAGTATCAATTTAAAATGCTGTAAAATATTATATTTGGGAAATTCCGTTGTGTGCGCTGCATAAATGTTTAAAGTTACACAAAAAATGTATGACGGAATGACCGCATATGCTCATCTTTTAATTGAACTCACTATAACATTTTTCCTCAAATTAACTCGGGTGAAATCGCGGGGAACCTGTAGTTCTGACATAACTGTAATAGTTAGACATATATTGTTGTCCTCTATCAAACTTTATTACATCACTTTGCTGTATTGTCAGTGACTTCAGCGTAAGTGATATAAGGTTATTGCTTGGTGTATTTTCACACCCTGGGTCACTTTCATTTTTTATTATATTTTTTTTCCTTTTTTATATATTTGTTTTAGACCCCAGCACCTGTTCTTATTTTTATTTATCTCCCTTTCATTTAGTGCTTACTTTGGGGCTAGGCAAATTGGTGTGAGTATTGGAAATATTTATTTATTTATTTAAATTATAATTAAATTTTTTGGATTAAAGACGGTAAACTGTGGAGATTGTGGAAGTTTTTTGGCGCCGGACAATGCTGTTGTTTGCTGTGCTTGCCCAATAAAATATCATAAGACCTGCCTCGCCATCTATTAATATCAAAGAAAAAAAAACTGCGTAAATAAAATAAATAAATAATTATAATTGCATAAGTTGATAAATAATGTTATGCAATAGCTTTACCGCGGCAGTCCCCGAGTGCCACACGTATTTTTATTATTATATTTTTTTTTGTTTATTTTTCAATTTTGTTTTAAATTGGTTGTTTTTGATTATAAATTGTTTATTTATTTAATTAACTCTTAAAACTTAGTCAGTTGTTGTCGATGGCCTAAGATTAAAGTGAATGTTATGAACAATTATAATTGAAATAAAATTTAAATTTTCCTTTGTAGTCTGTACCATTTGTCAATGACATTTTTTCTTCTTTAATATGAAACCATTTTAGGGTTTCGTGCCTCAATCGGCAAAAATGGTACCCCTAAAAGATCACTCGGATGTCTGTCTGTCTGTCACAGTCGATTTATTAAGTTAAAATTTGGTACATATGTAATATGTATATCAGAGACTCAAACACGGACGAATAAAATAAATACATAAATTCCGAATATGCGGCTAATTTTGGGGGTGAATAAGAAAATTAAAATTTAGCTAACCGGGAATCAAACTCGTGGTATGTAAAACAAAAAAAATATGTATTTTATGATAACCGTCGTATGAGCATTATTTTTTTCCTAAATATCATAGTCCATAGTTCTTTCTTGTTGATTACAGGAAAAGCTATAAGAAGTTTATAGTTAAATTTTTTTTATTTTTTAAGCGTTTTCTGACAGATGTTTAAGTTTAAAGAAAATTTTACTAGAAAAGAAACCACGCAGGCCAGGCAGTAGACGGGACTTGAACCCGCACCCTTCGCTAGCCAGGCGAATGCACTAAACATTACGCTACCGCGGCTCTGATGACCGTGTCAAATTTTCTCTAGCGTTTTTTAAGCTGCAAGGCAGCGCCATCTGTTGAGGGTAACCTACAATGCAAATAGAATAGAATAATTCTTTATTGCAAAACTGTTACATTTAGTGATACTGCTGGATGTTAGTGCACACAATTGACACAAACACTTACCTTAATCGGGCATGCAATAGTTATTTTCACAAAACATTACTATTAAAACATTTCTTTAGATTATAAAATACATTAACCGTTGCTTCAGGGACCTTACAAACTTATATTCAGGAAGTGACCGCAGATAAGGTGGTAATTTATTGTATATTCGTATGGCAGACACATAAGTACTTTTTTTTTAAATTGCTGAATTTGAACGAGGCAAATGTAATTTGTCTACACGTCTCATCGGGGTTATTCTAGCTCTCCTGTCAGAAATCTTTGGGAAATCAGGCATATGACATCCTACAAATTTTCAAATTTGTTTTTCCTTAAAAATATTACGTATTGAATTCTCACCATGTTTATTGAAAATTATTCTTAAATACCTTTTTTGTAAATAGGAATGTACTTTCAACATTTACACCGACTCGCACTTGGCCGGTTTTTTCGATGAGTACCTGCTTATTTAGCTATACTTAGTTAATTTAATTGTGCGGCCGCTCGACCTGCTAGCACGGTCATAGTATTATTTTAAATTTTATTATACCCACATGTGAGACTATGAAATGAATTTCACCAAGTACGTGTCAAAATTTTGACCGAAAAATTGTTATAGAAGAAACGAGATTACAAATTAAAAAAAAACTTATTTAAATAATTTGTATTTATTAGTAAAACAGATTACGGTTTCATATTATGATCTTTAAGAAAAAATCACAATTTTATTATCACCAACCCTTTTTTTCAAACACACCTAATATTTGAAACATTATATGGATCGAAAGAAAAGTTTTACTAGAAAATATCCACGCGGACCAGGCAGCGGATGGGACTCAACCCTTCGCAATCCGGGCGAATGCACTGACCAATTATGCTACCACGGCCCTGATGGCTGCGTCGAAATTTTTCTAGCCTTAAGCTGCAAGGCAGCGCCATCTCTTCGCATTGTAGGTAACCCAAAACTATTAATTATATGAATCGCTTGAAATCACTGCGACAACACGCAAGCTATAACAACATAATATTATTTTATTCCTAAAAAATCTGATTTATTTTCAAACGGCTTGGGTCAAATCTCATTTGAAAATATTATTTGGAATTTTTCAGTTTTAGTCTTAATACCACGAATGATATCATAATATTTATTCGAGTCTTATGATTGTGGATGTATCAATAATAATCATTGTAATTATGTTTTTATTTATTTTTAAGCATTTAACTGCCAGATGTTAAAATCTAAAGAAAAGTTTTACTAAAAAAAACCACGTGGACCAGGCAGCGGACTTTAAAGCCAGAGTATATATATAAGCCATATTAACGTGTCGTGGCGTGACGTGGCGCATCGGTTTCATACATTTATTATGGGTTAGAGAGAGATAGAGAGGTTAAAGCGTCGACACGACACGATACGTAAATGTCTCTAACCATAGTAAATGTATGAAACCGATGTGCTTCTGGCGCGCCACGACACAACACGACTCGTTAATATGTTTCTGGCTTAACTTTTCCTTAGATTTAAACATCTAGCAGTTAAATGCTTAAAAATAAATAAAAACATAACTATAATTGCTATTTCTTCTTTCAAATGTTTAATACTTGAAAAAGTATTCATTTGAAATTGCGGGTTACCTACAATGCGAAGAGATGGCGCTGCCTTGCAGCTTAAGGCTAGGAAAATTTCGACGCGGCCATCAGGGCCATGGTAGCATAATTGGTCAATAATCATTGTAAGTTGTAAAACAGAATTAAAATGATTCGTTCAATTTCAACGCAATCACATCGCATGCTGTTGCATGGTTTGTTATACAATACTGATATATGAACTTCGACCAATAATTATACTGAACTTTTCTTATTACATAGAAAGCTTGTTGAAGATGTAAAAGAAATAATAATTATTTCCGAATGATTAAGTGGAAAAACTTCGGGCAGCGTTATCGAATATCTGTAATGCGACATGAAAAATGACACTTTGCGCTCGAGTTCCGTTAGCAAGTCATCTTATTGGCTCCACCATCAATCTCTGCGGGGATGATTTTATGGATTTTATTGAGAAAAGATCGGTCAGAGCTTTTATGCGATTGGTCTTTTTCATTAGGATATTATACACGTTTTGTGGTAAACACCGGGGGAATATATTGTTTTTTCTGAATGGTAGGTACTTGTGACGTGTTTCAGTAGTACCATCAATAGCACAGTACCCCTAGCACGGACCATTATCGAATTCGAATAGTTTGCAAACCGAAATGTCAATGTCAAATTTTGTATGGAAACTTGAACAGCAGCGGCACAAAGTACGTAACGAGAACTAAAAATCAGTACACATTTGGCAATGATATTTCGGACTCGCAAACGATACGAATTCAATATTGGTTGGTTCTAGGGGTACTGTACAATGGTACACCTGACGTTAAGAGTCAAAGGTCAAAACCCAAAAGGTTACTTCATAATTTGACTAAAAATTATAATGCTTTTTGAAATTTAAAACACTCAGTGCACTCATCATTTTGTCTGCTGGAATGAATATTTTTATATAAATTTAGAATCTATTACCAAACATGATAAACGTAGCCCCTCACCTGATAAAGCAGATTTTTATTGCTGTTTAAATTTTACCATGCTTTACCAGTTTTAAATCCGCGCTCATTTACTTCTATGCTA